AAACGTTAATTGTTTGCCAACCATTGGGGTTAACCCAAAGATCAGAAAAGACTTCTTAGAGTTCTCTCAGATGTTAGGTTCAGGATTCGAATCTTATACCTAACAATTAGGGATGAAAAGAGCGTAAGGAGGGATGGGAAGGTAAAAATGAAATAAAATAAAATAAAAATAATTGTTCACAAAAATATCAGTTGCATGCATTATGATTATTATTTTTCATGTTACATAAGTTGAATTTGTCAATTGCTTGATGAAATTCGTCAATATGAAATCATATGCACTATTTTTTGAAAATTGAAGAGATATATATTCTTTGAAGTTGAACTCTTTGTATTATTTTGTGTACTATTTCTGTTAATAATGGAGTATAAATGATCCACCACATATCAATTTTTTCTGTCTAATTGTTCATTTCATGAGAATTAAAATATTATTGGTCGAGATAATTGAGTTTTTCTTTTTTTTTTTGAATTTTTTTGGACAAAATCCAACATAAAGTACAAATGACAAAGATTCTATTATTGTAAGAGCACCTTGTTTTGGTATCAATTGTAATATTTTTGAAGATTTGAAAATTTAATTAGGCCGTGACTAATCAAGAATTTTTAATGGAAATGAAAAGGTGAAAATAGAATGCAAAGAGACACATTAGTTTGGAGTGTTATATTTTTTTTATTATCTTCATAATTCAACTTTAATCAAGGTTACAATCTTTTTTTGTAACTACGATAGTTATAGCTATTGATAAGTGCATATTTTACATGTTTTTAAGTGTGTTTTATTAGTTAGTTTTAGTGTGTTTTAACTACTTTTATAGCCAATTAGCTAGGATTCTAGTGAAAATATGCATTTTTTGGTTTATGTAGTAAAAATTGCATTTCTATGGATTTTTATGGTGAAAACTTCATGTTTTTTTAGGTTTAATGATTCAATCATCAATTGAAGTGATTTGAGAAGATAATTGGATGATTGGTGATGGTTTGAAGTGATAAAAAGAGAATATGAAGTGCAAAAAAGGATATGCAATCAAGACTAAAATGAATCAAGTTTCACAGTTTTGACACCTTGTGGTATTTCGATAATATCTTGAGCTAAAAGCATCGGATTGAGGTGATTCGTGAACCATGTTGAAGCTAAGAGATAGATCTACATTTGGTATGAAACATCGAAGTCCAGTTCAGTCGTTTTCCTTGTTAGAAAGTCGAAATACAGAAGTGCATTTTCGTGGCCGAAAACTGAAATAGAGTTCTGACCAATTGAGGGTATTTTGGTCATTTATCAGTCCACAGAGCTCCAAATTAGATGATTCTTCATGCATTGGAATCTAATTCAAAGGGCTACAACTTTCATGTTTTGTACAAGAGTTAGTTCAGCCTCCATCATCAAGAAAAGATCAGTGGAAGTTGGGAAATATAGAGCACGTAAATCTGAGTTATAATACATGGGCAGACAATGCTTGAGAAATGGAAGATCGGCTATCGATTATCATCAAGTGCAAAGTTCCTAGAATAGACGTAACCAAGAAATTACCAAAGGTATGTCTTTCAAAGATGGTTTGAGGTGCTTAAAGGCTAAATGCAATGTTATAACGTTAAAAGTTCAATTGAACACTATTACGAATATGCTTAAACAAAAGAGGAATGCTAATGTTTTCAATTCTTATCATGTAATTTGTGACTTGTGTGGAGGTTATCATGATACTCATACATGTATCCAAGCACAAAATGTGGATTATTATGATGAATTTGGGCATTATAATTCTTATTTTGATCAATGCAACCCTAATTGAGACAGTTCTTATGCTTACGGTTGGAATAATCAATGTGCATATAGTGATTCTTCATGTTTTTATGATTACCAACCCGAATGTGTCCAATATGAATCAAAACCATCTTGAGAATTGGCAATAGAAAAATTAGCTAATGCATATTTACCTTGGGAATTAGAAGTGAACTATTAGCTAATAATTCTAATGCATCTTGGGAGTTAGCTATAGAAAAATTTTCTAATTAATTTGATTTAGTTATAGAAAAGCTAGATAATGCGACCTCCGATCATTTTGCTAGAATTGAGGAAATGTTAGATGAATTAGTTTCTCACTTTGGTAGAATACAAGAGCAATTGTATAAGTTGTGTGAAGTTATTTTTTCTACCTATATAGTAAAAGCACGAATGAGTTTTGGCAAAAGAGTGGTCGTCTGCTGATGTGTCAAGCTGTCATTGGTTAAAATGTGGTCGTCCTCCTCATGCCAAAATCACGTGCCCAACTAGGGAAATATTGGAGGGTTTTCTTTCTTTCTGACGTATTCTGCCGAGGATGGGACTAGCGCATGGCTCGATACATCACAATTTAGAAGGGTACTCTTTCTCCCTTGTTCATCGCTGTTCTCCTCTCTCTCTCTCTCTCTCGTCTGATTGGGTTTTAGTCCCTTGGTTTACCCCTCCGATTTTTCATTTACACGAACTCTCTTTTCTACATGTGTTTGTTCTTTATCCACTGGATCCAATCTAAGACGTGCAGTAGCAGAGAAAATCACATAAATTGAAGGTTGGTTAGTGGCTCGAGGATTATTACCCATCAAATTCTTATCTTTTTCCTCCTCTGATTTCTGTACGATTGGGACTAGGGCTTGGTAAACACTCTCCGTCCCTATCACTTACTTTCTTCTCTTATCAAACTCACCGGCGGACCAACATTTCTTCCATACCTCTGCGATTTTCTCCGTATTGTTGTCTCTAAAAATTAAGGTCAACAACAACCACAGATGACCTTCAATTTTTTGGCTTTTGTTTCTGATCTTTTTAGATGAGATGAGCTACAAATAACTTGTAGATTTACTCAACTTTTCTCCGTTCTTCCAATGGTCTTTATTAGCTTAATAATTAATAAATCTTGGTTTAATATCTCTGTTACTCAATTATTTTCTTAACGATAAGAACTTTGATCTTCTAATCTTTATATCTTAAGATTTTTTATTTTATTTTATGTCTCTTATGTTTTATTTATCCAATTTTCTAATTTTTATAGTATTATCTTTGTAGGAAAAAGATGAAAACTTTTATGGAATGCAAATGCAAGTACTTGTGGATATATTCCATCCTTTTCTGTCCTCTAAAGGTCTGTTTTGCTTTATTTATCTATTGATTTATTTGTTTATTTATTTTTTGCCGATAAAAACTTTGTCCTTTTAATTTCGGTCTCTACTCTCAAATCACTTGAAGTTTTTATTTTGTCTTTTATTTTATTGGATTATACTATTATTTTTATAGAAAGGAAGATGAATTTATTAGGTTTTAGCTAAAAAATAAGCATGAACATCAATGTTTTCCTCTATAAACATTTTTTCTGGTGCTGTTTGACAGAAAGTATGAGTTATAGTGGTTTCTTAAAGTATTCTAGAAGCATTTAATCCCTAAAACACCTATGCATTCTAGAGCCCCTGTTATAGAAACACCATTGATTTATTTATTTCTTTTCTTGGTGCACATTCATCTGTGATTTTTCCCATCTTTTTTCTTCGTTTATACTCTCATATTACAATTTGCATTTTTACAGAGTGAGGAAGAAAAGGAAGAGCAACCTCTATGGTAAGAAACTTTTTAGCCCACAAGTTTTTTGCTCTGGTTTGTTTCCCTTTTCAATTTGTGACCTTTCCCTCTTTCCCTCTATGACAGAGGTTTGTGGAGGATGGCAAAAAATTGTGGTAAAACTCCTGCTCCTATTTTTTTCACGGTACTTTGGGCCTTTTTTTTTCAGATTTTAATATTCTTCTTTTAAATACTAGCTTTGAGTGAATCCTTTTACCTGTCAAAATGAAATCTGCCAAAATTATATCAAGTGCATTTGTTAAATTAGAAGTTAGATGATAAATAACATTAACTAATATGGAACAAAAGGGTCGAGGTTAAGACTTTTCACTTTCACTTTTGCAGAGAACTTTAAAGATTTTCCAAAGAAACCTCTAAGCTGGTTCAGGAATCATTTTTTTCTCAGTTAAAAGTTGAATCCTTTTGTTCTTTTCTTATTTTTTCACTAAATATGGGACCTGGTCTTCATGCAATTTCTGTCTCTGCATCTTTTAGGACAAGTCAATATTTCTAAAGTAGTATATGTTTGAGAGTAAGACTAGAGAGATGATTGTCTACACAACTGAAGGTACTTTGCCATTGCAATTTCTCAGGGATAAATTTTTCCCCATCAGATGTTTATCTCTGACCTTTTTTTTCTTCTTTCTTTTTTTTTTGGTATCCACTACAGGAGGAAGCAATCTTTATTTGTGGTCCAGGAATAAACAAATGGTGAAGATAGCCTTTAAGTAGGTGTTTTTTCACCTTTTATTGTTGTTTTTCCTTTTCTGGGTTTTAATGATAGTATAAGTTCTAATTAATCGAGTCTCTGTTTAATTGATAGGTGAGAATATCTTAAACTAGGTGACTTGGTTGAGCAGATATTGTGCACATCCATAATTGGAACTCTATAGCATGTCAGGTTCCTTATTTGGTTATCTGGATAGACTATTTTGTAGTGTGAAATGTCATCTTCTTTTGATGGGCTTTTGAATAACGAATCATTAGTTTCTTTTCATTGATTAATTTTATAGATTGATTACACTTTTGTTGTTAGAGTAAGTTTTACTTGGTAATAAATTTGTATATTTCATCTTTAACCTTTTGGGTTCATTTCTTGAACTTCAATATTTATCTACCTATATAGTAAAAGCATGAATGGGTTTGTTAAGATGGTGGTTGTTGTGCTGATGTGGCTGTGTTATATTGGTTGGAGGATGGTCGTCATTCATGCGTTTCTCACGTGCCAAAAATTTTGTTTTAGGGCTTCCTTGTTTTTTTTCCCCTCATTCATCTCTGCCGCTTCGTTGCTCTCCAGAGCTCCTCTCCTCTCACCTTCCATTTTTCTTTTCTTTTCTTTGTTCCTTCTCTGTTTTTCCTTCCCGTTTCCCCCTTCCCCCCTTTTCCTTTTGTTCTCTTTCCTTTTTTCGATTTTATGATTCTAACTGATTTTTTTCCCTTGTTAGAATTGGTCTGGATATGAAGCTACTAAACGCATGAGACACTGAAATCATCTTAATTGGTAAGTTCCAATATTTCCCTAAAGTTTTACAGTTTCCTTTATTTAAAAAAGAAAGACATTTTTCCTGCTAAGATTTGTTAATCCTTCGATTAATAACCCAGAGTTCTGAAATACTATTCTTCCATCTCCTTCTTTGAGCAAACAAAGAAAGCCGTAGTAAAATCTTCATCCAAAAGCAGCGAAAATTGGAAGTATTTATAAACCCTGAGATCTGCTACTTTTTATTTTCTTGTTAAGTGTGCTTCTGAGTTTGTGTTTTGCTTTCTCTTTTTCTTGGGCTTAGATCTTGCAGGTGAAATATTAGAAATCTGCTTCAGCACCTTAATTAGATTTTGTAAGTTTTCCTTGATTCTTCACTCCTTGTTCGTACAATTCTACAAAGGTCACTTGTTCTCCCGCTTTTCTGTGAGTGTAGCTGTGGCGATGGCCTCGGGATTTTCTCTCGTAGGTATTTCAAAAAATTTTCCCCCTTATTTTCTCTTCAACTCTCCAGTCTTATTCTACACCACTATCTTCCTAAATCTTTATTCCTCTCATCATTTGAATCATCAGTAAGTTGGATCATCCACCATTATAAAAGAAAAAAAATGTGGAGATCGTTTTTCCTTTAGACTTTTCCTCATCTCCTCAGAAATTGTCATCTTCATTGGTGATTTTTGTGGGTTTTTTTCCCAATGCTTGATTATACTTTCTATGGTGTTGTAGGTGGAAAGGTTGAATATTTACTTCGACTCCAGATTCAAGGTAAGTGTTTTCCATGACTTTCCCTTATCTTTACCTCAATTCATTTTCTCATATGCTTTTACTCTCATCTCTAAGGTTTTTTTTTTATTTTTTTCGTATTGCTTTAAGAAGGAATAATTTGACTTCCCTGTAATGTATTGTGCTCTTTATGATGTTTTGGTGAGATAAATTTTTTTTGTTTTCATTTTGGGTTTTTTTTGCTGTTACTGTAATTTAGGAACTTTTTTATAGAGAGTAGTGAAGGAAGGGATGATAATGTTTTGGATGGTTTAGGAAATCAAAAAGTTTGATTTTTTTCATACCCTTTTCTAAATAATCAAGAACATTATAATTGTACTTTTTTGGATTGAAATATCATATATTTCATAACATTTTGCCGAAGGATTAATAAGGAATGGCTTTGGAAATATGCTTTCAACAATAAATCATATGCATGTAGAAAAATTACTCCATTTCTTTTGTTTGGTTTGAAAAATGAAGTAGTGTATTTTTTGGGTAATACAGGAAGTGTATCTATGATATATTTTTGGAGAATATGGTAATTGTTACTAATATTTAACTGTATGAAGTGGATTTTTGCAGCACCACTCAAGAATGCTTCTGCCATTTGATTAACAAAACTACGTGTTTATTTATGTGGGAAGCAGAATCGGCCACCCTTGAATCTTTATCAAGATCAAAGCCTGGATGTGTATGACCCTGGATACTAGATTTTGCACTGATTGTAGCTATTTGATCTTTGCATTACCTGCTGTATATGTATATCAGCTCTTGATGCATTATATCTCACGTGGATGGTGTTATCATAATATTTTTGTTTGGTTTAAAATCTTGTGTAACTGGATGAGTTATTTTGTGCCAAGAGTTTGACCATCCCTTTTGCTACTGATGTACTGAGAGGATAAGAATTATGGCCTATATTAATAATCCTCCTCCTTTTTTGGTCAAATGCAATTTATCCCACTAAGGTTGATATGTAAGCACAGTTTCTTTTCATTGGATTTCTTGAAGTTACAGGCTAATGAAAACCATTTTAGTTATTGTACTACAAAGTAATGCGTTTTTTGGTATTTGGGTTATTTTGAAGTGTATGATTCTAATAACAAGGAAAAGGCTTGATGCAATACTACATTGTGCATTTCTTTTTTCTTCTTTTTCTTATATTCCTTTTTGTGCTGGGACAGCTTTGATATGTAATGAGAACCTCCGGAATGCAGTCTACTGGTCGTAAGTTTCATAAATGTAGCCTTTTACATTATCTCATGTACTTGTCTTTCCTTTTACGGGATTCTAGCTGTTGACATGCATCAAATGATCAAGGGCAGAATTGCATTGAGGCTTGTGAAACTTCCTTGTTTCTTGTTTTGTGTGTGTTAAGTAGTTGACCATCCCCTATGTGATGTAGTGAGAAGATACACCTGCATTAGTAATGCTCCTCCATTTTGGTCAAATGCAGTTTATTTCACTATGGTTGATATGTAACACAATTTCTTTTCCTTTCTGTAGATTTCTTGAAGTTACAAGCTAATGAAGCCATTTTGGTTATTGTACTACAAAGTAACGGGTCCTTCTTTGCGGTCTTTGGGTTAATTTGATGCAATTACGAAAATAGTGGATTGGTTGTATCAGAGTATAAAAATAAGGCCAAGCCTTGCTGCAATACTACACTGCTCTTTTTTTTTTTTTTTTGAATTAGAAAGTCACAGATTTTAGTGTACATAAAAAATATAAGGCAGCATTACACAGTGATATATTATTTTCAAACTAATGACTTTGCCATTGTTGTCCAATTAGTCAGCATAACAAAAATGACTGTCATTTAGCAACCAGACTGAAATTGTGGCTCTCTTCATTGCTTAATAAAATTACAAAAAATAATCACAAAGATTTGGGTGCACCTTCATGTAACTCTTTATATTGAATATCCCAATTTGAATAATTGAACATTTTTTGGCAAAATTGAAAATTACACCGCGCATCGCGCGGTGTTTCCCTCCTAGTCTAATGATATGCACTATGACTCTAGCATGAATGGTGACCATGTTGCAAGTGAAAGTGGATTGCATTTTGATGAAAATGATGAATCTCAATTTCGTTTCAATGAGAAAATGTCCATTTCAGATGATAATACCTTCGGAGCTAACCTTGAACCTCAAGAAGTGAGCCTTAACAACTCATTTTTAACCCCTCTTAAGGAATGTATTGTGAATATAGGTTTTAAAGGTATTATTGCCCAAGACAGCCATGCGGATGTTCCTTTGGTGAGTACTTAAGTGATGTACGTTTAAGGTAATATCTATGAAACACTTGAGATAGGTAAGCCACTTCCATATCTCATATCATTAGAACACATGGCTTTTGTTGTTAAGCCACCTTCTAATGATCCACCATGACCTATAATGGTAGATGATTCGTTAACAAAGCCTCCTTGAAAAGTGAGGTAAAATAGTTGATAGGGTGTTAATTGTTATTAATTTTATTGCTATTTTCCCCCTTTGTCCTTGCCAAATATATTTTTAATTGTTAACATATACTTATTTTTGGTATTTGGACCTATCTACAGGAAGTGGAACTGACAAATGCTAAAAAGGGGATTTTATTGAGAAAAATCCTCCACATGCTAGAGCCTCCAGCGGATATACAAGTTGGGCCCACATGGTGCTACAAAAACTCCATTTTGGTTGCTGATTAGGAGTTGAAGTCTTTGAGGAGCAAGAGGAAACGAAGAGAGCAAAATTCGGCGGAGCTTACTTTTGGGAATTGGACTCTCAATTCGTGCGAGGACCATGGAGATAAGAGGCACTAGTCATTGTTTTAAGAAGAAAGAACGTACAGAGGGTCCTGAGCAATAGATTTAGTTTCTTTTCTTCTACTTGGCATGCGTGCCTTCTGTTCGATGTAATTCCCGATTGGAAGACAACTTTTATTTCTTGCTTTTTAACGAAAACATGATGGCCTTGACTTCAATTAAATTGCATAGAGATTTATTTATGTGGCGTGGCTAAGCCTTTCACCTAGTCAAGGATCAATTCGACGGCGCAGTCCCAAATATCTGTGAGATCTAATTAGTTTTCACGCGTTTCTTAATTTGTTAGTATTTGCACGTTGTCTATTTGAATTTCTATGGAATTATTTTGTTAATTGGATATCAAGGGTCCGATGTTCAATGTGACTTATTAATCTCCTGCCAAATTAGTCAATTAAATCTGTAATTGTTTGATTGATTGATATTAGTGGTAACTGGCGTGTTTACCCACTAAGGGAACGTGCAATCTAATTTAAATAACCCTCGTAGCGTGTTATTGATTGGGGTTAGGCTTTTCTAGTTATTAATGGAATTGGAAAATTAATTCCTACGGTCGTACCTAGGAGTATTTTCTAGTTAGGGGTAATCAATGGTCGTACCTTGGTTATCAATAAATTAAGGAAAAATTGGTCGTTAGAGTTCGTCGGCAACTATAACTAGCCTATTAATAAATTAAGTGAACCTCTCTTGCATCAATGATCGGGTAAGTAGACTGTGTCTGAATAGTTGTATCCTTGGCTAGAATTTATCTACTCTTGATTTAATTCCTGTCTACATTCGTGCTAGTTAATTATTTATTTTTAGTTGAATTGCTTAATTATTTTTAGTTTTATTCCGATAAAATCCCCCTTTACCAATTAGAATCTCAAAGAGACAAATATCCCCAGTCCCTGAGGAGACGACCCACCTTACCACTGTCTACTATTTAGTAAGTTTGTCAACTAATTAATTCTGGTATATCGGATTAAGCAAACTCTTCGGGAATAGGGTGAATCAAGTAACCCATTGCACACCTAGAGTCCCTGCTCCAGTACCTAGGATTAATTATTGATTGCTTTTAGTGATATTTAGGTTATTATTATTATTATTGCACAGGCTCGACAACCTGTCAATAGTCAAGCTAATAACTATAAAGAATCGCTTGTTGGGAGGCAACCCAACGATTTCTAGTTTCTTTACTAGGTTTTAGTTATTTGATTAGTATTTTTGTGTGTTTTGTAGGTAGCAATGACAAGAAGTCATGCAAATTATTTCAAGTGCAAAAGGGCTTATAAGAAGTGGAGACTGAAGTGAAAAAGGGGAGCTTACCCTTTATTTTTGAGTTTACAATGTTTAATTTTATGATATGAGGTTAAGTTAGTCATTTGCATGTAGTTGAAGTGCATTTAAGTGATTAAGTATGCTCATGATCTATTTGCGCTATTTTGAACCATTTGAACACCATCATATGCATTGGAAGTGTCAAGGGGACTATTTGATCCAAGAACCTCAACCCTCAATTTGCATTCTACATGTTTTTGATTTGTTTTGAGGTGTTGAGGTTCATGTTTAAGTCACTTTCCATGTGCGTAAAGTGTTGACTTGTTGAACATTTCGTTGTAGAACACAAATTAGAGAGTGTGTTTCGAATTGGGGTCAAATTGAAAATTGTAGAAAATTTTGCAATAAGTGCAGATTCTATTATTATTATTATTTTATATTAGATTCCTGTGCATAGCACTGGTCAAAATACAACTAATAGCACTATTAATAGTAATAGTGATGGTAATATTAGTCTTTTCTAATAATAATGATGTTAAAAAAACATATAAAAAGGTTCCCTTATGGGCACCCACAAGGGAAGCAGGGTGGAGTGAGGCAGGGGGAGGGAGTTATATGACAGCAGAGCAGGCTTTGAAAAGCATCCGGTTGCCATCCTAAAATGTAGGTTTGCAAACATAGTGGCTGCTTTAGAAAGTTTGGCAACAAGCCAACAACTTGATAGTTTGATTGTTGTTTAGTTCTCCATCAGAGGTTTGCTCCCAATTATAGCGTCTATCAAATAAACAGCTGCTTGTTTGTTTCTTTCCTGGATGGTATGATGATGAGTTTCCTCCATCTGCCATGTTTCTGCAAAATAGAATTAGTTAGTCTATCTTTAATTTTTTAGAAAAAGGTAGGAGGGCATTAGGATCAAGAAGTTGGGGGTATTATACCCTCAGTGGTGGTTATGTAAGGAACTAGTTGGTTGATAAAAGATACTCCTAAAATGACATTATTGGTTAATTTTTTGGCTACGAAAAAGGTGTCTGTGATAGATAAAGAAGAGAATTGGATATATATACATATATATATGAGTAGTTATTTTAATTAGAATTGTTTCTCACTCCTATGTGGCGTACTTAATTAAGAAAATTAATGAGTTATAGGTCACTTGAATTTTACCTATATTGAATCCTATTTGGATTGTATTATATGTTTAAAAATTATCTCTAATTTTAAAATAACTTTAAAAAACAACTAATCTTATCTTAATAATTTCTGCTTTTATCAAATTATTACATAGAACTATAGTAAAATCTTTTGCAAATCACAATTATTGAAAATTTACGTACTATCTTTCACCACCATATCATTGATTAGTATTCAAATCATTTATCATCTTTTCCTTACTGTTATTACCTTATAAAATACAAAATTTTATTATCTAAAAAATATTTATAAAATAAAGAATGGATTAATCTTTCCTACACTGACAGTGTATACACTATCAGCGTTGGATGAATGACAACTATGCAAAATTTGAATTTGAAATTCAACTTTTGCACATATGTCATGAATCCAACGCTGATAGTGTATACACCGTCAGTGTAGGAAAGATTTACTCATAAAGAATATCCACGAAGTTTTAATATGGGGTACATTGTTTGATGTATACTATTATATTACGATGAAAGTATGTAAACAAATTTTTAAAAATTAGTAAATAATTGAACATTTAGAATACATTAATTTTTAAAGTTAATATGAATGAATATGTAGGATTCTGGTTAATTTTTGTATTTAAATTATTCATATTTGTATAAATTCACAATAAATATATAAAAAAAAGACCGAGCTAAGACACAGACAAAATTCTAGTTATGTAATAAGTACGATGTGTTTCATTTCAAAGTACGATGTGTTTCATTTCGGTCTAACCACCTCCCTGAATTTTGGTGATTAACCCTAATTTTAAACATGTACTACTTTCCTATTTATTATTAAGAATCCCAACTGCATACTCTTTGGATTTTTATACAATAGTTTGATTGGAAATAATTTGTACAGCACTGACCTAATGCATGTTCCCCAATAATTGCACGCATGCATCTTCCATGACTTCACCTATCGAAAGTCGAAGGTTTTGCATCACATTTTGCTTAAACAATTTATCTAAAACATATCCTTCGAATTGAGGACGTTAGACGAAAGTGTTGCTGAAATTTTCGCAGGGCCCCTTGAGCAGTTTTGGGAAATTTACTATATCTTGTTATAAGAATATCGGAATTGAGTTCCGTTTATTGTGTTTTAAACTAGATTCATAGTGCTATTAACCGTGTAAATTTCAGACTCTGGTTTGGTCTGGGTGATTTATGGTGATTTTTCAAAGTTAACTGAAATTGTATACCTGTTCTGTCTTTTACTGGATAAAACAACAATTTGAGGCTTGAATTTGACTGGCTTGTGATCTGAATCTTATAAATGTGTCTTCTGAGAAATTGTACCTCTTTGAGTCTACTTTCCGATGATATAAATTTTATCAATTTTGGACTTAGGAATCATGAGATATGATTTTTCAAATGGAGGTACGCAAACCTGGAAAATCCTGTTTTTCTTAGGACCACCCATTACTTTTTTCTCTAAAAAGGCGCTTTATCTCCTTGTACTAGTAGTTAACTCGGAGAGGTATACGACTTGTAGTCGAGCCTCATTTATGCATTCCGTTTACTGGGTTCGTGACTGTGGGAACTATAATTGCTTTCCCTTGGTTATTCTAGGGTTTCTCGGTGATTAAAGTCCTACTTTGGGTGAAAACTTTTGAAGTATCTGTACTTGAACTGATGAGTGTACTACTCCCCTGAATTATTGTTAAACTGGTTATCTGTACTTGTACCTTGTTACTTGAATGTCTACTTATCTTGTACGAGACGAGGGTGTATTTTATCATACTCGTTCTCTAGCTTGTGTGACTTGTTACCTCTGTATACTTGAACCTGTTACCTGTGCCTACTGTGATGTCGTTTGGAAGTGTATCCAATGACCTTCTTGATAAATTTGAGCTCAACCTCATGGGGAGTCAAATGAATTGAGCCAGCAAGGGCTTGGTCAAGGAAAATTGACAATCCATGGGTGCCGGTTCCTGGGAAATTTTAGGGTATTGGAGACTCTAGATTTCCGGTATACTCGAGTGTTACCATTCATGTTCTTGTTTGGCGTTCGGGCCCGGTGAGGGGGTATGATTGGTGGACAGGATTTGGCGTTAAAGTGGTGTTCTACTGGACTGGTTTCTTTATTTGAAAGTTGACGGAGGGTCAACGTAGTTGGATCAAGTACTGCAATGGGGATTCGGCTCCCGAGAGCCGCCTGTATCCTTTGATTCGTGGTGTTCATTCATTTCCTTTATTTGACGTATATATGTGCCTTAAAAGAGAAATCTTATGATTTATGACTATTTACACTTTTGGTACCTCACTGAGCTTTTAACTCACCCCGTTCCCATTATTTGTTTTCCTTACAAGAACAACTTTTGGAACCATGTTTTGAGAAGCGAGTAGAGCTAGTTAGACATTCATTTGTTCTTTTGTATAGCTCCTCGGAAGTTGAAAACCCTAAATGTATTTTGATTCCAAGTTTTCCCCTTTTGATTTATAAAGTTTATGAACGTGGAGTTATAAAAGTGTTTTCTCTTATATATGTGAACTATTTTCTTTAGTAATGTATTTTCATAAGTGTTGGATAAAGTGTACATGTATCGGTTGTGGTTTGGTTGTGTACGAAAGTTGGACGTGAGGAAAAAAAAAAGAAATTTTAGAGGTTATTGTTCACTGAATCCGGCCAAATTCCGGCCGGATAGTGATGTGGCAGTCACTGTTCATCCGCAGCTCGTTTTCATTTTTTTTTTCGTTTTCGCGACCGTTGAAGCATTCGAGCGCTGAAATTTCATTTAGAATGGGTATCTTGAGTGTGATTAGCTTCGTAGCCCTGGCGAGAGTTGGGCAGGCAGTCCGCTAAACCCTTTGGTTCGCCCTAGGGGAAAGTGGGGCTGCCACATCAGGGAGGGTGAGTGCAACTATCAAAAACCTCAGGGGAGGTTTCTGCAATTATCCCTTATGTAAATCAAGTGAAAGTTTAGATTGGGTTAGTCGCTAGCCTAAATATTCAAAGCCAATGAGGCATGTTCTAGTTTATGAACTTTTGACATGTTATAAGTTTTCTTGTATGATTACATGATCATGGATATAATTATGGGAACGTTCATCTTAAATCATATGTTATATATATATATATATACATATACATATACATATGTTCATGCATATGATATGTTCAAGGTCATTATAATCTAAAAGTATACTTATGCGTACAGAAGGTTTTATACTCATGAAATGAAACTACTGCAAAAGGATGGTGGGCAAAAGTCATTTTGAAAGAAATATATGTGTGTATTATTTGTATGATCCAATGGAGGAAGTAAAAGCTGCTTTGCTGAGCGTGTGTTGCTCAAGCCATAATATTAATACGTTTCTTGCATGTACTAAGTAAATTCCTCTTTCTGTCAAAACTACCAAGGGTTGGGTTGATAGGCATGAAGGACAAGACCAGATTTTGCATAATTCTGGGTGTCATAGGTTCCAAGCCAAGGCAATTATATATCGGATGATGGAAATAAGTTGCATAATTGGACTATAAATGCTGTCAATTATTTAAGTCATCAAAAGGAAGAAAAATGTTTCTATGCATTTTAAGGAGTTAAAACTTTTCATTGTCAATTATAGCAACTAGGTGGTAGCCAAATCCATTAATGCAATTGGCAACTAGTAGCTCCAAGAATCACACGCCCTGCACTATACAGTGCTTAAAAAGTAATATTTTGTGTTTCTTGTTTAGAAATTGACATCAATGTAACTTGACTCCAAATCTAATTATATTATATTCCGAACTCTCTTCCTAAAATAATGCCTCAAATTCCATATTACACCAATACCATCAATAATGTTACAATAATATTCAAATTCGGAGTCATAAAACAACCTTAATATACTATGTTCAGGGTATTGCTGAAAAGAATCTAAATCACTAAAAGTCCAAAATAAACTTGCTATTTGTTCCTTTTCTTCTTTTTTCATTTTCTGATTTAGGTTCAATGAAGACTCAAAGCCTCATAAGAAGAAAAGGGGAAAAATGGCAGCTTGAAAGTTGAACCAATAATCTCACAAATATTTAACCAATGTCTTTACCAATTAAACTCGATCTTGAAAACAAACTTTCTGTTTAACATAAATATAGATATAGATATAGATGTGATATGACTAATTGCTGTTTAACATAAATATGGATATGGATATAGATGTGATATGACTAATACGTTGCTCCACAAATAACCATTCGACACAGGAAATTTGTGATCGGAATAAGGGAAACCATGTTCCATGAAATCAAAATGATAAACGCAACTCTATAAGAATATGGTTTTGTTATCCCAGTTTTCTTCTATTGAAGATTGCATACGATATTTGGTTTCGCAATCATGATGCGTATGTGCTTGTCAAAGTATATTATTGGTAGTTGAAGCCTACTTTTTGAAATCCACATTTTTGAAATCAAGTATTAACCTCTAAGGTTTCCACAATATGTTCGGACCACATTTGTGGTTTTGATTAGCTCATTTATTTCAAGAGTTACAACACCAGAGCTGTTTAGAATCACACGCCCTACACTATACCGTGCTTAAAAAGTAATATTGTCATAAATTCATTCAAAATCATTCTATTTGTGGAATTTATTTTTTGTGTTTCTTGTTTAGAAATTGACATCAATGTAACTTGACTCCAAATCTAATTATATTATATTCCGAACTCTCTTCCTAAAATAATGCCTCAAATTCCATATTACACCAATACCATCAATAATGTTACAATAATATTCAAATTCGGAGTCATAAAACAGCCTTAATATACTATGTTCAGGGTATTGCTGAAAAGAATCTAGATCACTAAAAGTCCAAAATAAACTTGCTATTTGTTCCTTTTCTTCTTTTTTCATTTTGTGATTTAGGTTCAATGAAGACTCAAAGCCTCCTAAGAAGAAAAGGGGAAAAATGGCAGCTTGAAAGTTGAACCAATAATCTCACAAATATTTAACCAATGTCTTTACCAATTAAACTCGATCTTGAAAACAAACTTTCTGTTTAACATAAATATAGATATAGATATAGATGTGATATGACTAATTGTGACGCCCCCACTTCTCCTTAAGGCGAACCAAAGGGTATCCGCGGGACGCCTGCATAACTCTCGCTAGGACTCAAGCAATAAACGTTCAAACTTAAAGCGATACTAGATACCACAATCAAATTAGTACAAATACATATAGTGCGGAAGCGTTCATGCTTAACACTATCCATCCATTATCCAACCCGCACGTCGGGTGTTCATAATACAACTTAAATTCCAAAATATACATCACATATATCCGAATGATACATTAAACTTCCAAAAGTACAATCATAAAGGGATCAAGCCAAAATACACTTGAAACCCTAAAACAAAATATATCCAAAAGGAGATTTCTCCGCGTTTACTCCATTCCAGTCCTGTTAAGGAAAACAAATCTACAGGGTGAGCAAAACGCTCGTGAGGCCAAGAACACACATGCAGGCACATAGCTCAGGTAACAAGCCCAAGTGGCAATTCAAGTAATAAATTGAAAGTAATTAATAATGCCAACAAAATGTAACAAAAAAAAACAATTCAAGGATATGGTAGCTCTCAGGAGCTAAGTTCCACATTTTGCCGATGTCATTCGTATATCTCCCCGCGATGACTCTCCGTCAACCGGGTTGATATTTCATATCTGTAGTTCACCACTTACTTCTCATCCGTCCACCCCACACCGCTTCGGGCCCGCACGACATTTAGAAGGCTATACTCTACGAGTATGCCAAGCAAGATCTCTCAAATAGATCAAGCTTATCATATGAATCTCATGACTCACCGAGGTTCCCGACCAAACCCATGCCGGTTCGAGTTCCAAGGTCGGCCTATGAGTTTGGGCGTCCCCCATGTATCATGTAAGTGTCGAGGAGATTCACTCCAACGACGTATGCAATCATAGCATACCATGTCATGTATTCAAGCATTTGACAGGTTTAAGCATGTACTCCACGTCATGTAAATCAGGCAAATCATGTTAAGCATGAGTCATTTGTTTCAAATGAGAACGAGTGCGATAAAGTACACACTCGACTCCATTTTCAAAACCAAGTAGGCTAAGCATGTAATCAAGTCCATAGAGTTCAAGTAGTCAAACACTTGATACTCACCGAGATATGCAAGCAAGTAGGTTGGATTGAGAGTTCAAACTTCCACGGTAGGGTCCTCTTGGAGGTCCTCGTGCGTGCCTGAACATCGAATAGTAGACAATTTCTATAAGTCCCCAAGTGGCGAGAAAGATTGAACACGAGTAGGGTTCGGAAATATTTTGGAAATTTCGTTTGGGTTTGTCTTTGAAGTTGGATTCGCAGAAAGGTGCAAGACTCGAGTAAAATCGGATTATTATCCATAGAATCATTGGTTGGAAACGAGTACGAGCGAGACGATTGCAAAACGAACGATAAAAATCGGAAGTGGGCTGGCCACGTCACAATCCGGCCGGAACCTGGCCGGATATCCGGTCGGATTTATGGCCGGATTGGAGGCAGTGGCTAACCTCCCTTTTTTTTCAAATCTCACCACCAATCCGGCCGATAATCCGGCCAGAAACTGGCCGGATTCAAGGCCGGATTCTGGTAGAATAGTTCCCGCGCGGATTTCCTTTGAAATTCCAGAATTTTTGATTTTTGGTCAAATTTTTGAAAAATCATAACTTCTTTTCTACTAGTCGAAACTTGATAAATTTGATACCGTTGGAATTGTCTTCCAAAGTACTAAAAATTCTTAGAAGACACTGTTCCATGAATCTAAATGGAAGGTATTAAAAAATGAGCTTAAAGTTGCTATTCCTGATCACCCAGAATTGAGCCGGGGTTGGTTTTTTGCTAATTTTGGAAATTCGGTAGAATTCACTCGTTGCAAACCAGCCCTTGAAATTTATAGATCAATTAGAGGTGCAAGTAAGGTTTAGGACAGAATAAGCGGATCGAGAATCGGAGTTTCGAGCACCAAGATATGGTAGCTCAAAGTTGGGAAAAATTCAAGACTGGAGAAGAATTTCCAGATTTGAACTTCCAACATTGGAAGTTTAGTTAGGTATCGAAACGAATTTGGATTGGTACCAAAATTGGCAGTATTTTACTCTTATATGAAGGGTATCTCTCTATCAAGTTTCACAGAAAAATACCTTCGGGGAGGCAGTCAACGAACCAACTGAAGTTTGGAAAAATTCTTAAGGCAATCTGCCTTTAATCCTTTTCTTTCCAAATCCAATCGTCTGGCTAAGAAAATCCTCCAATCATGATTCATATGTGAAAGGAAAGTCTAAGGGACATTCATGGTACATTTGGTAGGTGTTTAACACCAAGAATTTCATTTAGTAAGACCACAACAAGTCTCATCTCAAATCTGTCCAAAACTAAGTTTTTCCAAAACAGAGCAGTGTTCTTGTTTTGATCACAAATCAGTCGAATTAACTCGGAATTGAGCATTGTTTATAGCGTTGGAAAATACATTCATAGGGCTAAAAATTATCAGAAGAAAACGTTTTGAAATTTGGCGAACAACCAGCTCAAAATTGAGCCTCAAGTTGCTGCCTCTACAAATCATTCCAACAGAATGGAGAAACAGGACAGCTATCTTAAAACGAATGGTTCGGCTCCTACACATGGAATCAGAAGGTTCATTTTATACCGTTGGAAAGGTATGGATGTCTAGTTTTAAATGCCACCAACGGTACTTGATTTCGACGTCGGAGGACAAAGTTATGGTCGAAATGCTACCGCTGGACAGGGTTATCCGAAAACAGTTTTCTAGCTTGACTAGTTCACAAATAAATTCATTTGCCCAACCAAACATTAATGTTTTCCAATGAAAATTTTTACACATCAACTACAACATATAAACATCAGGTTCAAGCCATTAGATCATCAAAAATTGGCCTTATCATGGCCGAACAAAACAGGGGCAGTTTCGGAAATTTTTGTCATGGCCTCAACTTTTGAGTTTCCAACAATAATACTCCATAAATCTATCATTTTAACCACTAATCTACTACTATAAACAGCATCAATCACCATATCAGCCATCAAGACAGAGGTGGAAGTTCATAGAGCCCACCTTCCATTTTTTCAACAACAACAACAACCCATATGCAAATTCAAGCTCATAAGTGTAATCCTACTCTTATAAACTAAGTTTAGAGTGTTAGATCACTATATACCTCCTTGGTGCTTAAGACCAAAATTTCGGCCCTCCTTGTAGCTCCAAGAAACCGTGAAAGCTCCTCCCTTTTGAAGCTCAAAGTGTTGTCCAAGTGTAGAGCTAAGTGTATGTGAAGTTTGGTGTGAATCTATGAAGGTTTGGTGGTGATTTGAGTGAGTTTTTGTAGAGGAAATGTTGAAAGTTTTCGGTTGCTCCCTTGCTGACTGCTAGCCGTCCATGGAGCTTGAAGAAATGGTATGTTTTGCTGATTCTATTGCGTACCAGGAACGCTGATCGTCTAATTTTAAGTACGTAAAAATCAATTGCAACTAGTGCGCCTACGCGCGCATTTTGTGTCCGATTTCTCTTAAGTTTATTGCACTAGTGCACTAAACCTCTAGGGCACCTATATTCATATAAATATTATTCATTCATAATTGTCCCAAAATAATGGTCCAAGGTCCCTCAATTAAGCGCGCACGTGAAAACACGTATATCCAATTTAGGCGCGATAAAAATGAAACCTTCGAGAAATTCTTATAACGATCGTACCACTAACTATCACTTGAGTACTTAAACCTAAATTTACCTATTTTAAGACTATTGTACATGTCTCCAATTTTTCGAGCTTATTGTACTCCCAATTGGCTAAAGTTTTCAGACACGTTTTCACTTTTTCACTAAACAAGCTTCTAAGAAAATAATTTTTGAAACGAGATACTTTAAAAATATAACGAAGCTATAAAACCATGTACTTAGGTCTAATAAGGCTAGAAAATAATATTCGGGGCAAAAATCCAAATAGATAATTAATTGAGCCAAAATTAGGGGTTTAAAAATAATACTTTTACGAGTCCTCACGTGAATTGAGTATTAATTCCTCAATTAACCTTTCTTAATCTATTATTGATCGTTCTTAATTCTCCAATATTAATACACTCCCGATTCAAGTATAGCCTAGAAAAACGTGCACCTGTCGTTCCGGACTAAACAATTTTTCGAAAAGCGAATTTTCATACAAAACGCTTTAAAAATATAAAGAGGCATCGTTCCATATAAATGGATTTAAAATGGTCGAAATAAATAATTCGGAGAAAATGAGTGAATAATCATTTAAATATTCCAGTAATATTCTATAAAAATAAGAAAATTTTCGGGTCCTCACACTAATTGTTGTTTAACATAAATATGGATATGGATATAGATGTGATATGACTAATACGTTGCTCCACAAATAACCATTCGACACAGGAAATTTGTGATCGGAATAAGGGAAACCATGTTCCATGAAATCAAAATGATAAACGCAACTCTATAAGAATATGGTTTTGTTATCCCAGTTTTCTTCTATTGAAGATTGCATACGATATTTGGTTTCGCAATCATGATGCGTATGTGCTTGTCAAAGTGTATTATTGGTAGTTGAAGCCTACTTTTCGAAATCCACACTTTTGAAATCAAGTATTAACCTCTAAGGTTTCCACAATATGTTCGGACCACATTTGTGGTTTTGATTAGCTCATTTATTTCAAGAGTTACAACACCAGAGCTGTTTAGAATCACACGCCCTACACTATACCGTGCTTAAAATGTAATATTGTCATAAATTCATTCAAAATCATTCTATTTGTGGAATTTATTTTTTGTGTTTCTTGTTTAGAAATTGAATCAATGTAACTTCACTCCAAATCTAATTATATTATATTCCGAACTCTCTTCCTAAAATAACTAGAATTTTGCCTGTGCTTTAGCACTGTCTTTTATTTTTATTTATGGTGAATTTATACAAATATAAATAATTTAAATATAAAAATTAACAACATTTCTATATGTTCATTCATATTAATTTTAAAAAATTAATGTATTTTCAATTTTCAATTATTTACTAATTTTTAAAAACTTTTATTTATTGTGAATTTATACAAATGCCAATAATTTAAATATAAAAATTAACAATAGTTCTACATGTTCATTCATATTAATTTTAAAAAATTAATGTATATTAAATGTTCAATTATTTTACTAATTTTTAAAAATCTATTCACATACTTTTACTATAATTTGATGGTATATATCAAATAATGTATCCCATATCAAAAACTTGGTAGATATTCTTTTTTTTATAAATATTCTTTTAGATAATTTAAATTTTTATAATGATCATAAACTTAGAACTATATATTCATATTTAATTAAGTAGAAAAAGATCTAGCAATCCATTTTTCTTCATCAATAAATATTCAATTTCCAATAATATTAATAAATCTATCAGTGTAATAGTTAATTGTTTTTTTTTACGCTAAGTTAATTCAAAATTAAGAGAAAAGATGATGAATAATTTGAATACTAATCAATGATATAATGGTGAAAGGAAATAATTTATGGAATATGTAAGATTTCAATAATTGTGATTTAAAAAGACTTTATTATACTTCTACGTAATAATTTGGTAAAAAGCGGATATCATTAATATAAGATTATGGTGGTGAAAGAAAGTAATATATGGAAATGTAAGATTTCAATAATTGTGATTTAAAAAGGTTTTACTATACTTGTATGTAATAATTTGGTAGAAAACAAATATTATTAAGATAAGATTAGTTATTTTTTAAAACTATTTTAAAATTAAAGATAATTTTTAAACATATAGTATCATCATTGTAATAATTTCCTAGAAAGCAGCTATCATTAAGATAAGATTAGTTATTCTAATTTTCAAACACATAATTTAATCCAAATAGGATTAGTATGGGTAAAACTTAAATGACGCATAACTCATTAATTCTCTTCAATTAGGCATGTCATATAGGAGTGAGAAACACTGTGATTAAAATAACTACTATATATATATATATATTTGATGTGATCTTGCGTTAGATCAAAGGAAGTTGATTGTTCTTGCCGTAATTGAAGCATGATGTCAATGATATCACCATTCATGGACTCTGGCCTATTTGGATTTAAGTGTTCGTCGATGAGTTCTTGAAGAAATGAATCTAACTTACTGCAAGTCCGCTCAAGTCGAGAACGCATCCCATTGAGGCTATCAAGCCAACCAATTGAAGGAATATAGTCTGAGAAAAAGAACCCCGCGAATGCAGCCTGCATTTCTTGGAGGAGATCATGGAATCGCTTCTTTGTTGATCTTCCTCATCATATCTTTCCGAAAGCAATTCTACAGATAAACGTACTTGAAAGTGATATTAAAGTCTTACTCAAAATTCGTCACTTGAGATGAAGATGCTTCCTTGGATATCGTTCTGATCATCCGGGAGACTTCATCTTCACGAATACCACGAAATGACTGCACCCTTCTGTTGCTGAAGAGATGAAGAACAGAAATCTTTCTCAGCTCTCTCCACTGCTCGCTGTATGGAGAAAAGGCGATATCCAAGCCGTTGTAAGAAAGCATTCGGGAACCTAGGAGGAGTGGGCGACTAGAAAATGTCGAGTCATGGTTTTTCACAACTTCTTCAGCATTCTTGCGGATGAAACCACAAGCAGTGGAAAGGATCCAAGCTTAAGAGACATGAGAGGACCATATATTTTGGAAAGTTGCCAAAGGTATACATGAGGGGCGGGTATCAAACTGAAGCAAGTTTCCAATGACTGGAATCCCCCGAGGACCTGGTGGTGGAGGATTTTTTGGTTTGATGATCTCCTCCTGTTCGTTTGGAGAACGCTTAGGACGATAATTAGAAGTGCTGAGATTAAAGCAATCAGTATCTCCATCTTCTGGCTGGAAGTAAGATATGATGGTCTTTGTCTGATGGAAATTTGATCAGAAAGAAGTGAACTCGAATATTTAGACTTCGTTGAGCTTGAATATGAGCTTGAGTTTGAGTTGCGTGGTGGATTTGAACAAAATTGGGTTCTTTTCTGGATAATAATTGATGAGAATACCAAGATGTGAGCAGTGGGATATGACCTTATCATAAATATATTTTCTATTTTTTTATTTCACGTCACATCAATAAAAGTGTTATAGTATTTTTATAATTATTTCAAATAATTTATTATCTAAACACAATTATTGTACCTTAAATGATCGAAATGATGAAAACTAAGAATGTTACAAACTCCTAATTTATTCTATGGCAGCAATAGCACCGTCCATTTTCAGAATTTCACATCGAGAAGATCTCTATCTTAAGAACTTAGCTTTGGTAGAATCAAAACCTATAGCGAGTAGGCAAATTGTATCCTTAAAATCATGAAAAATAAAATTTACAAACTGACTATGACTTTAAAAGTTACAGGACACTTTTGCCACTAATTTAATCAAATTTTTTATTATTCTATTTTCTTATCTCTATATTTAAGATACTTCCTACCGCTGAGTTTTAACACTTTGCAAATTTTTAAAATCCTAAGCGATGCGAAGTAATGATTGAGAAACTTTTGCATGTGTTTGTAACTTTCATATGATAGTGCTAATCCTAAATTGATATCATTATACAAAGAGAAATTTCATTTTGAGTTTTCTAGTTTTCATTTTTTTTAAAGTTGTTTCATATTCAAGTAGTAATTAACTTTGAGTATAAATAGTTCTAAAGCAATTGCTCAGTAGGAGGGATGTATAAAAATTTAAAAAAAATGGTTATTTATAAGACAGTGTGATGGAAGACTAAGTCCGTTTGGAGTAGTTATTTTTTGGGGTATTTTTGAAAAATTTTACTGTAGCAGAGTTTTTATAGTATATTTTGGGATATTTTTAGAAAATATTTTAAGATATTTAAGAGTAGAAGAGTTTTTAGAATATATTTTGGAATATTTTTTAAACATTACAAAAAATTTAGACTACTTTTTAGAGTACTTTTTAAATTTTAATAATATTTATTAAAAAATTTAATTTTTAAAAACTCTCGAATTCAAACAGAGTCATCATAACATAACCCCTTATAAATAATTTTCAACTTTACATGAGATTATTCACAATATTTGAAGAGGGTGGTTGGGAGAGGACAATTGAGTGATTGGCGAGACGGAAACAATTGGAAGCAGGAATTGTATGACTTGAGTGTTTTTGGGTTTTCTTTTTCTTTTTTTTGTCTGAAGCAAGAGATAATCCATCAATTCTTTTGACAAGCTAGTCCCAGAAGTTGTACAAGATTCCGTGGAATTCGCCTTCTTGTGCAACTTGCCGCTATTGTTATCCCAAGAAAAATATCGGCCTGCAGATTACTGTCGATACATCAGCTGAGACAAATAGTGGTGGCTATTGGCATGTTACGTGCACTTCAGCTTTATCACAATTG